AATGTACAATTCTAATCAAGATTATTGTCATGACATTTTCAGATGGCAACACTTGGTTTAAAACGTCAAATTAATTTACTTTGGGTCAACGTATCGTTTGCGATTTCACTCGCTGTGCCAAGATCTTATAATATTTAGGTCTTTTAAAATTATGTATTTATTTTCATGCAAATCTGTCTCTAAGTTCCACCAAATTTACAAGCCTTTCACATTGATATCGACAATAGTAGTACATACATAGTACGGACTGCCTCGTTGGCCAAGTGATCGCAAGTGCGACTGTTGGGCAAGGGGTCTTGGGTTCGATTCCCGGGTTGGGCAAAGTATTACTGGGTTTTTATAAATTCTCAGTAATAGCACGGAGTTTGGAATTGTGCCCGGTATATATGGCGATAGGCTGACCCCCTATTACATGGAACTCATAACATAAATAGTGAAAATTGGGTGTTACATTGTACAGTGGCATAATGTACACCTCTGCCTACCACTTCGGGAATAAAAGCCGTAATGTTGTGTTAATACCTACATAGTGTTTTATCTCCTTACATATGCGTTAGTAACCATGAATACAAAAATAAAATATTGAAACTGCTTTTGTTTGCCAATAATGAGCCAGTTCAAAACAACAATAAGAGTTTAGACAATAACAATTATGTCAACGGATGCGATTCGTCTCGTGTGAATTATTACGTAAGTCTGAGTGCAGCCGAATCTCAGCCAGTTCCCCGACCAATGATTGCCGAGTTCATTGACACGATGACATCTGTCAACGAAAATTGTGATCGATAATGTTGCCAAATGCAAAATATAGGGAAGTGGCAAAACGAGGTCAGGTTTGATGGTAATTTTATTGTTAGCTGTGCAACGGTTAGGTTCCTGTGTATGTGGGTCACGGGTTTGTTCCTGTTATTACATAAAAATAATGATGCAGGGGTTCGGGAAACATTGCATTAGCAAAAGTTTGGGTATATTGAATTTTGTGTAGTTTTATTTAGTTTCATTTACGTCGTAGTGGCCTGGAGGTTTAAGATGCCCACTTCTCATGCATGAGAGTGAGGGGAAACCTGCCAACGGCAAGTCACAATGTGACATTATCCGAGTTATATGTACTTTCTAAGATTATTCAGACACCACTGACAAACGGTGAAGGAATACATCGTGAGGAAACCTGGGCTTATAATTCCGGTTTCGGGTTAGATTCCCGGGTCGGGCAAAGTGTTACCTGGTTTAAAAAAAAATCTCAGTAGTAGCACGGAGTCTGGAATTGTGCCCGGTATATGACAATAGGCTCACCCCCTATAACATGGGACTCATAACATAGAAAATTAAAAGTGCGTGTTACATTGTACAGTGGCATTATGTGCCGTAATGTGCACCTCTGCTTACCACTACGGGGTTAAAAGGCGTGATATTATACATATTATGATATTTATAGTTATAATCGCTTTTGCTGCACATGGTGTAGTATAGAGTCGTCCAATCACTGCACAAAGTAATCTATCGTGTAATTTACTAATTTAATTAAAATCTAATTTCTTCTATCACAATCGACTGAATAAAATTTGACAGTTGGTCATTAGAATCGATTTATGTGCTTCTGTATACCGTTAGTATTGTTATAGCTTCACGCTCATCGCAACGGGTGGTCGGCTGAGTTCTGATGCTATTCAGGGTAATTGGCATGCTATTAAAAGTATGCAATTGTTAAAACGCGATACAATAATAAATCAAGTTGCTGTATTGAGCTCATCACGGTGTGTAATTATGAAATTGATATAAAACTTAAGTGTGGGAGAGCCATGCTTCGGCACGAATGGGTCGGCTCGACCATGGAGTGATACCACGGCCTCACATTAAACCAACGCCAAACAAAACTTGCGTTGTGTTTCGTCGCGAGAGTGAGGTTAACAGAGGACCAATTACTTCACCCCCCCCCCCCTGAATCCCAAAAAATCCGAAAATTCAATTGTTAATGCACTCGTGATACCTCTGGTGTTGCAGTCATCAGTTAGGTTTCAGTCATGGCTTTTTCTTAAGGGGGTAAATCATCGAATGACTTCTCCCTCCCGGGTGAGGCAGAAGGGAGTGTCAGACTCTTACTGACTAAAAACCACCCCGTTCCTTCTCCTGCACTTCGAGCCGGAGCCCCGGTAACCCGTTAGGTTCTCCGCGACTTCAGTGATGGCTTACGGGTCCAATTTGCGTGCTTTAAAAATTACTGAAATTCCATGTAGGTACGTGTAAATACAATCACCAGCTATATATCTCCGGTGCAATGTAATATTGTGGGGTAACATTCGAATATTATTCATTTCAAATTTACTATTCGAGTAAATATAGAAGCTGCAGCAGATCAATCGACTACAATCCTCAAAACTTCCGATAAATTTTCAACTCTATTGCAAAGAGATATAGTTGAAGATCTGTTAAGAATTTAGGATAGCTTGATATGCTAGCATGCATTAAGAAACCTGTTAAGAAGAATGAGTACCTAATTACTACAAGCGAAATAAATTTTGTACATTTCCGTATTTGTAAAACACTTAAACAATTCATTTTCTAAAACCCATGTCTGTGTGTTTGCGCTGTTTAAACTCGGAAATGGCTGAACCTTTACTAATCATCGTTTGCAAGCTTTTAGAAACTGAATGTATGGACAAATATAAATATGGTTAGAACGTTTGTGGAGATTTGTTTTAAAGGTAAGTAGAATTAACGGCGGATATTGTTAGCTTGTACATACAGTACTTAAATGCTAAGGTAATAAGGTAATATGCCACAAGCCATAGCTTCCATTTGTACGGTTATGGGAACCGTAAAAACAGAACCTAAAGGGTTATACGGGATCCTAATTTTAAGACTGCTATTCATTTATTTGTCTGTTGTAACAGTATAATAGAGTCTGAAATAGTGCCCGGTACGTAATAATAAACTTTTTCTAATATATGGGGTCCATAACGTAATTAGAAAAACATAAATTACCCTCCCCTTCCCCAATCTCCCCAATCCCTACATCTCCAACGATCCTCAAACTCCTAATCCCCAAAAGGCCGGTAACGCACTTGTAACGCCTCTGGTGTTCCAGGTGTCCGTGGGCGACGCCGATTGCTTACCATCAGGCGATCCGTCCCGTCGTTTTCCGGATTACGCAATAAAAAAATTATGCTTTTCGACTTAATCACGAAACTGTTTGACGACACGACACGACAAGACGTGTGTCGCGGAATAGTGCTCGTGAATATGAGCCTCCAGAATGGCTTGAAACTAGTCGAGTTCCTGGTCAAATTATTTAACGTGAGGAAGTTGAAAATCATAATTATGAATTTAGTATGAAAATTATAATACAAAATATCGGATAAAGTTGGTTCTGCACTGAAAACGTGCACTGCCTGTCCCTTAAAAGAAAATGCCGTTATGATATTTTTACATTGGTACGATAAAAGGACCTACTCAAGAAGTCAAGTACACACATAGGTAATTAGCTAGTCCAAAATTAGCGATGACATTACCCATCAACCAATAATGAGTAGTGTAATAACAAGCCCTAATGCGACGCTAGCGCCACTCATTAGTACTAATCACATTCAGTGGAGTTGTCGCTGATAACTGAGGAATGTCTAAGAGATATGAAGTACTGCTTACGCTTTGTACTTCCCTGTGGTAAACAGATTTGATGATGACGTCTTACAGGGAGTTTTGTAATAGGATACAATCAGGCCTACCGTTTTGATCACTAGATGGCGCAAATCAAATAGTTCTGTTGCAGCTGTCAGCTGTCAATATTGAATGTCATCATCAAATACACTAGATCTCAGTCGATTTTGATTTCATTGAAAATAAGCATTGCCATTCAACGTGGCAATGCTGCCAGTCTCCTGGGAACGTTCACCTGTGATAGTGATGCGGACGAATACTTTGACGCCTAAATTGAGGGTATATTTTTGTTGTTCCCCTTTTTTTTTTACTTTCGTTTTATTGAATAGTTTAGTTGTAGTAAACTATAAGTTGTAAATATTTATGTCGTTTTGATTTGTAATGAATAGGGGGTCAATTTCTGATTAATAGGATCACACACAATAACTAATCTCAATGTAAAATCGTGAGATCAATTCAGGCTTTCGATAGAGAAGTTTTACAGTCGCGTAACTAATGTATTTGATTAAAAAAATATAATTGTACAGTCAACAAGAATAGAGTCAATAGAAATAGTTTTTTTTAAACTGAGGAAGGGTTTGTCTAGGAATGCAATGTCATCCCAATTTGTTTGTAAAAAATGATTGTTATTAGTTAGGACTCGGTACGTGTGTAAAAATACTTCTACGCGTAAAAACCTGAACTTTCCTATTAGCAACATCAAAAAAAAAAACAAAAGCCAAAAAACTTCGCAATCGAATTGAAAATTCCTGAGCACTCGTATACTAGAACCCTATTCGATTGTCCCACTGCACTCGAGTCGCCTTCAATCGATTTATGTACATTCGTAAACAAAATCGAATTAGTACCAATACATGCGTTTACAATAAGGTTCAAACAATGGTAATAACGGGTTGGATTGAAAAAAACTTCGCTTGAATGCTGAACGGATTGTCACAAGTATTGAAATGGAGAATGGAGCGGTACTGAAGCTTTTAATGGCTTTCATAGCTACTTTACTTTGGTACATTTCGTTAAAAAGGCTAACCTTTTGCTTGTTTTAGTGTTTTCAATGCAAAATCGTTTACTATTAGAGTAAAGTCCTAATGAAATTGAAGTAAAGTTAAAAATAAACAACGAATAAAGAAATGCCAATCATTCGCCAAATATTGGCGCACCTGATTTTTGGTGATTCAAAACGTGTCATTTGAAGTATTAGTGCCACCCAGAGATCATTATTTCATACCTACAACTTTTTGGACAATATATATTTTATGAAACAAGATAGATCACCATAGTTATTAGACCACAATAGTCATAGTGCTCACCTTAATTGTATTAATAATCAAACAGAATTTTCTACTTACCCAATAAACTAAGACTGGCAATCCAGCTGGCCTGCTGGTCGCTGACGGTGAACCCTCCATCATGAGGCCTGGTGTCCTGCATCGAGGCTATCGCTGGAGACATGTAGCCTTTACTGAGGCCTGCGGCGAAAGGGCCCAGGGAGACCGCAAGAGCCGCCAAGATCTGTGAGCGAAAGAAATAGTTTAAAAATGATCAGGATAAATATGCATAAATAAATAAATATACAGTTATTGTTGTGTGATGAAATCAGAGAAAACTATTATATTACATATGCTACCATCGCTACTGCATATTCAAGTGGATTTCGTAAGTTTCGTACCTACACACATTTGATAAAGAACCTAATCAAATTGCAATGTCTAACCTATCAAGCAAGTAAAGAGACCCTCTTAAGTAAAGGAGGCACATGGTCTTTTTTTAAGGGGAGAAAATCATCGAATGACTTCTCCCGCCTAGGTGAGGTGGGAGGGAGAGCCAAACTCTTCCTTTTTTTTTTTTTTTTTTTATGGCATAAGCCGGTAAACGAGCAGACGGATCACCTGATGGTAAGCAATCGGCGTCGCCCATGGACACCTGGAACACCAGAGGCGTTACAAGTGCGTTACCGGCCTTTTGGAGATTAGGAGTTTGAGGATCGTTGGGGATTCAGGAATTGGGGAGATTGGGGAAGGATATCCTTCATATTTGGGCCTCCGGTAACCTCACTCACACGACGAAACACAACGCAAGCGTTGCTTCACGTCGGTTTTCTGTGAGGCCGTGGTATCACTCCGGTCGAGCCGGCCCATTCGTGCCGAAGCATGGCTCTCCCACACTTCCTGAGTAAAAACCGGGGTTCCTACTCCTGCACTTCGTGCCTAATCTAGCCTATAGTCTAGCAGTAGACTGCCACGAGCCGCTGATGATAATAAAACCAATAAGTATTATAAAATGTCAATGATAAAGTGCAAACATCAATCGTGGAGTTGTAAACAAATCGGTGAACGTTTACAAGATAGTTTGGCACCATGTGTTGCGTGTACTGTCGCGACACACTTGTAAACTGTCTTGTTTGACCTGCTCCTCTCGTGGATCGTGTGTTAGAAACCTATCTATGAAAGTAGACTACTCTTAATCCTCGAAGGGATAGATAGAGATGTAACTACTTTGAGATTTAATACGTCATCATTAGCTTCTAGTTATACGTCAGTTAAAAAGACTTCTTGGTTGTTAAATATTTCATCGATTTGGGTATTTCTTCTTTTGAATGAATGAATGTCATTTATTTCTCAGTACTACATGGTGCACATAGACCTTAAAATTAACAAAGTTCCACACATACTACCGTTACCGGTGTAGAAATATAAAATTGTATTAACAGTATTAATTTATGTCTAATTAACTCGTCGAGTACCGGTTTTGTAGACACAATTATAGAACAATAGGTTGCGGTCACCGGTGACCGCTTGGTGTTCGACAGTTTAAAGAACAATTATATTAAAATTAGTATTATTATTATTGGAAACAATTCAAATAAATTAAAACAGGTAAAGTCAGAAAATAAATTAGGAATGTCAATAAAATTAAGATGTCATTAAGAAGAAATTATGTATCAGATAATGTAGTCAAATTGTAATATACTAAAAAGTCAATAAATTAATTGTCACATCAAATCAGGAAGTCAGGTGAGAAATTTATAATTAATTTTGGTCAAAAAACATGGAGGCACTGATTAGCATTGTTTATAGAATTCAGTTCATGAAGCGAAATGTAGTTAATATGGTGTGGGGTCTTTGTCGACAGTAACATGATGTTCGAATTATGAATTTAACAAAGCCTTAAAGCCGGAAACGTAAAAAAAATAATGAAGGTAACTTACTAAACATCCCGTTTTAATAGTTTAATGATAGACGTAAATAATATTATCTTAGATATTATACCTATTTGATATTCAAACGTGTAATTATATAAAATCTTTTCATACGTTTGTTTAAATTAGAGCACAAAATAAGTAGTTTTATAATAACAGGTATTTATGAAGACCACCTTCTGAGATAATTTCGATTATTCCAAATTGATGTCTTACTTATAATATCATGCTTTGTTGTTTGTGTGTGTGTATGTTTGTTATTTAATAACGTAAAAAAACCGACTTCAAAAAACTAATAACAAACAAAAAAGAAAAAAATAACTATCATTAGTACTGGTACGTTTACAATTGCGCGAAAAAAAAAATAAACAACAATCAGCCAGACAATTGAAGGGATCAGAACAAAATTTGGAACAGTGGTTTTTTAAGGAGGTAAACTCATCGAATGACTTCTCCCATATGGGTGAGGCGGGAGGGAGGGTTAGACTCTTACTGAGTTAAAACCACTGTCGTAGCTCTGTCGGGTTATTTTAAATTAAAACAGAAGACTGCACGATTAATAGGTTTAATTATTAGATACATATCAGAATCAATACCGGCTCGCACCGATACAAAGAAATGCCCGAATGCTATGGCTGGCGTGTGTCGATGAAGAAGGGCGGCGCTCGCGCGGTCGTGGGTTTTTATACCCCCGTCCCGCGCGTCGCCACCTCTGTGGTCGATGGCCATACTAATGCGCCGACAACCACCCTGATCCTACTTCTGCACTTCGAGCCGGAGCCCTGGTTATCTTTTACATTCTCCGCGGCTTCGCATCGGCATCAGGGGTAACAGGTAACAGGGCAGATTGTAGTCTGGATTAACATAATAATATAAGCTAAGTTTTCATCCCACGGGAATTCGTGTGAAGCTGCTTGCAGAAGTCAGTTACCAACTAAATAAAAACAGTTAAAATGTTTTACGGCAGCATTCATAAAATTATGCCACGAATCAACCAAAACTCCATTCTACAGCCTCAGGCGTGAACCAGTTGCTTTACAAATTGATTCTAATAGACGTGCATTAAGAAGTGATAGCTTATAATTTGGACAGCTCCAAGTGTTGTGACATTTCATAGACAAACTAGTGCAGTGCCGCCATTTCCTGTCATTTTGATAATTAAATAAATTATTGTGTGTACGGTTTGGAAGTTGTGTGTAAATAGTTATCAATTTCTGGTTGTTTTTCTATGGCCGAAATCAATAAGGGATCATAGTTAAAATCTGGATCAATTTTTGACATTACTTCTATTGGAGACTCGGTCAAAAAGCTGGAACAATCCTGAAATTTTGGATTAAGATGTAACTCATCATCTCTTTTTCAGTATTTTATTCAAATGTTTTAAAATGAGCAATAGGTGAGCAAAGATACGATAGGCCCCATTAGAGAAGTCTCAAAATCGAAATATTGCTAAACTCGAGGATAGAAACCATTTATTGATTTAAAAAATGTAGTTCAGTAGTTCCTTCAGATTTTTGATTCGTATTAACACCTAAATTACTGCATTTATGCAATTTTAATAGCTTCAGCCTCTTAATCCTACAAAATTATTGTTATTGCAAAAGTTTATACCTACGTTTATTAATTTTACAACAAAACAGCTAAAAGGATCGGGATAAAATTTGAAGCAGCGGTAGATTATGGTCTGGAACTCATAGGCTATTTTTACATAACATAACATCACGCCTGTTATCCCCGAAGGGGTAGGCACAGGCGCACATTATGCCATTGTACAATGTAACACCCACTTTTCACTATTTATGTTATGAGTCCCATGTAATAGGGGGTGAGCCTATTGCCATATACCGGGCACAATTCCAGACTCCGTGCTACTACTGTGAATTTTTTTAAAAACCCAATAATACTTTGCCCAACCCGGGAATCGAACCCGAGACCCTTTGCCCGGCCGGCGGTCGTACTTGCAACCACTGGGCCAACTGAGCAGTATAGGCTATTTTTATCCCAGATAAATCCACTGGCAAAAGCTAGCCTTATTTATCAACAAAACCTAATAAAAATTAACACCAAACTGATAACATCTATCACTCATCTTACCAACCACATTAGCCATGTATTTCCTAGGCACCTAGGCAATGTAGGAAGTGCCTAGGATTTATAGGCCCTCATTAAGGTAACCGCTCAGGAGTGTCCGTAGTTTAAAAACCGGCTCAGTAGCTTTGGTGTCGCTGGACAATTTCCTCGCGTTCCTTAGATGGTTGGTGACCATGCAGGAATGATGAGTAGTTTTAACAAGGAGTTTTTGTTGTATGCCTAGTGTTGGTTGAGCAATTTTGTTTGTTATATACTCTTTTGTTGAGCGATTTGTGTCATCTAGAGAACGGCTGTGTCGATTATCGTGATGTTTTATTTACCGGATCGAAATAAAATATGAGGAAGTGGAAACTTCAGATAATCGTCTTCCATTTCTTTTTCTATCTTTGAGGTTCTGGTCTTTATTTTTTTTGATGGTGAATATCGTGCAATGATTTCTCCCACCTTGAGTTAAGCGAGAGTGTCAAACTCTTACCAACCATTGAACACCATAAAGAGTTGATATAATATTTACGATACAAAAATCGATAAAAAAATACCCAAATCTTAACAACATCACTAAGGATTTCATTACCTACCCACCCAATCGAATATTTTGTCGACATTATTATAATTTTACCGGAATGTACCAACTTTCTTTTCATTCCGTCCTGGTTTATGAGACAAATGTACTATGTCCCATGTCTCGTGGTACGTGTTAAGGTACAAAATGTTACGGGACAGGGACACACATGGAGCTATACAAAACCAGTATATCATGGTCCCGTCTTATATCATCATTCGGCACATTGAACGGCCAGTTTATGCTGGTTGTACAATACACGTACCAGTTTATCATGGTCCCGTTTTTTATGATCTTTGCACGCGTTCCAAGGTCAGATTATACTGGTTTTGGATGACTTGATCTGTAGACACGGTGCACACAGATATACCTACACTACATGGCATTATTGATCGCTTTGTCGGGCACCATGTGTGAATTGTGGGCTAGTGATGTGCGTCGCACGGTGTGTCGATAATTTTATATCGAGGTATATATACGTTGATGTTGTTTTTGTATAGGATTTTAGCACTCAAAATATAGTATAGGGAATGATTTAATGTTTAATGATCCGTAAAAAAAATAGTAATAAAAATCTTTAGCAGTATCTAGCGGTACCATTTGTTATCTCATACATAACTGTACAGAAGTAATCAAACAGTTTATAAAGAATCTCAAAGAAAAGATATACCCAACAAATGAATGACTTAATTAAAATATAATGTCGATTACAAACAATGAACACTACTTGACAGACGGGTTATCATAAAAAAATGTAAAAAAAAAATTACGCAATCCCTTATCAAAACTGTGTCACCGATTAATTTCGACATCCCTAACCCATATTCTATTTCGGCCGCTATTATCGACCTCGATAAATTTCCCGGGGACAACCCTACTTGTTCTATCAGAAAGCGTCCGCTAGACTCCTAACATTCGGAGGGGTCAGTGACCGACACACTGCCATACATTCTATCCCCTTCAAACAAAATTACCAACACATCTCAATCAACCGAAACCAAACCCTAACTCAACTAAATAAGAACCACTAACACTGCAAAATAAAAATTTGGTGTTGACAAATTTAATTCCTCGTTCCTGTCATTGGATATTGAACTTTAGTGACACAGAAATAGATGTTATATGATATTACTCGCATGGCAACTTTAGTGATGATCCATGTTACTGTCACTGAATTTGACAGATTGCGAAACGAATTTTTAATGTGTGTAATTTTATATTAAAATTGATTATTATTATATTAATTTTGTAGTAATTAAGTTGCGAGCTATAATTTATTAGTGTTATTAAATATGAGTATTAAAGTTCCGGGTTTAAAATAGTTTAATTGTATGAAAGTTTGAATGGAATGGTTATTAGCTAGTGATGCACCTGTTTTAACTGTATTAATAGGTTTATCATTGTAGATTAATGTTTGTGACTGTTTTTCTTGGCAACACTGTTTTTAATGGAAAAGAATTTAGATAACTGAATGATTGAATTTAGATTCAGAAGACTGCCTTGTTGGCCGAGTGGTCACAAGTGCGACTACCGGGCAAAGTGTTTCGGGTTCGATTCTCGGGTCGGCCAAAGTATTACTGGGTTTTAAAGAAATCTCAGTAGTATCACGGAGTTTGGAAATGTGCCCGGTATATGGCAATAGGCTCACCCCCTATTACATGGGACTCATAACACAAATAGTGAAAAGTGGGTGTTACATAGTACAGTGGTATTAAGTGTTATAATGTGCATCTCTGTCTACCTTTCGGGGATAAAGGGCTGTTATGTTATGTTATATGAATTTAGACAATTTGAAATTAACTCCAGCTGGTGATATTGACTCCATGATAGACTCAATGCCTGGGCACTGCTCAACATCTCATGGCACGGGTTCGATTCCCACATTTATCAATTTTTGTGTACTTAACAATTCATTGTCACGGCTCTGAATGTGATGCGTATATAAATTAAATATTTTTGTGTGTGAATTTTCAAATCAAAAACCTTAACTACAATAGTATATAATATCATAATAACCTTTCCTATTTCAAACATGCAAGTGTTGCAATCAACTGAAAACCTCACTAAAAATCGTGACGTTTAAATGACAGCTGTCAACTGATATGTCTCATTAGACCGACACACTTAGCGTTGCGTTTTACGGTGGCGCTGTCCGTAAAGGAAATTGTTTACGAAACTGTCAAATTCAATGCATTTAATTTTAGTTCCGTGTTTCGCCACACGCATTTGTAAGTGTGTCATAGATGTAGGAAATGGGGGAAGATCGTAAAAGGTGTCGTGTTAGGAAAAGCTGACAATTTTATGGGATTTGGGATAAAAATACTAGCGACGTATACTTATTAAGTTTTGGAAGTTTTATAATAGGTTTTCATTGATTGGTTGGTACTTTGGTAGTAGTGATATCGAACACGTTGTATTTGTATATTGATATCTCTTTTGGGAAAGTGTTTTATTGTGTTTTTGTAAAAACGGGAAATACAAAACTGTGTCACTTTAAATAAATTCACGTAATTATTATAGGGGAATCGTGGCCATAATTTTTACACAACTGTCAAACTCAATCTGTAAACTGAATCCTTTTCAAATTATATCATTAACACGTTAAACGCCATGGCAGTCACTGGTGACCGACATTAGCGGAGGATTTGCCTTCAATAGTTTTTTATTGGCAGCCAATGCCTTAAAGACCACATTTGCGTGTCTTGTGTAGACAAGACGTGTGGATGTGTGGGTAAGAAAATATCTTTGCTTTAATATACAAAATCTACAGAATATAGACAAACAGGGCTTTTTTGCCACCGTCATAGTATAAGAAAAAAAACAATAATCTCAAGTTCAAATAACTCACCTGTCTCCTATAACTATTCCTTCCATCATTAGACCGCATCATCATGATCCTTGTCTCAGGAGTAATGTTCGTCATTTTACCACTATTGCACACTTTCTCACACATAGGTACACAGTCCAAGAGTCACTGTTCACTGTTTAACACTTTTTGCATCACTTTTCAACCGTCAAACTGCGTGTGGTATCATTTTCTGAGCGCTGTTTTGTATCTGTAACAAAAAGAAAGATGGCGTCAGGTTTAGCTGTCAAAATTTGGAAATGGAGCTGTCAAAATAGTGAAACAAATTATAATTACAATTTTATTTTTAAAACAATTGCATAAGATCTTAAACTGTCAAATACCAAGCGGTCACCGGTGACCGTAACCTATTGTTCTATAATTGTGTCTATATTGACGGTACTCAACGAGTTAATTTTAATTAACGATAATATTTAATCCAAAAATATAAAAAAAAATATGTTATCGTTACGAGATGTCTGAAGACACAGCACTACAAGATGTTTTTGCAATTTATAAATGCTTCTGTATTTTTTTCCTACCCAAAAAACCGAAACAAATTAGTATCTAGGCCGAAAATTCAACATAAATTGAGATTAGAGCGACTAATCTGTAGCTACGATTACCTAACTATAATTATCCACCTAATCTTATGATCACAAAACTACATTAGCATTCGTAATAACAACAATAAAATGCAAATAACATTTTCGTGTAAACAAATATTGGATTAGATAATCTACCTCTAGATTACGACCATACGTAACTATAATAATACTATAATAACGACACAAACAAAACAAAAGACTTCAAACAATAATAAAACAAAGCAAAACACATTCAATATAAAAAACAATTGAAGAAATGCGTTCATTACATCACAAAAGCATTTTTTTATAAACCATCTTACTATAAATAATGCAAATAAATACCTAAATAAAATCAGGAAAATAATCTATCGACTCGCTTGTCAAAGGCTTTACCCGCATTTCAATGAAAAAATACCCTATGTTACTACAGACCATATATGTTCCTCTGTCCAAAATTTCATCTCGATCCCTTCAGCCGTTATGACGTAATTATATACAGAAACTAACGAACTATTATATTTATAATATTAGTAAAATTCACTCACTTATTGCAGTAGTTATGAACTTGTGGCACGAGTTCTCTCATCGCTGGTACTGACAGAACTACAATAAACTGACTACTAATTGTCTGTATACATACATACCTACGTAGCAATAGTTATGGACATATGTATCATATATATCTATTGTACTCAACGCCCAGCATCCAACGAAAGGGGGAAATACGAGATGACGTCGTCGTTGTAGATGGAAATTTTTGGTAGTGAAATACAATTTTTATTTCAACAACAAGGACATGATTGCAACGTAAGATATATTATGTACTCTAAAATTATTATTCTAGAACGAGTCATACCAATGTAGGCAATCGTATCTTAGATAGAAGGAACCCAGTCTCCAGTGAATCATAGCCTCATGGGCTAAATTATGGCAATCCCCTACTGAAGAGTGTTTAGTTCAACTGTAGAAATATTTCTGTTGAAGATATTGAATCGCTACTAATATTATAAAACAGAAACTGTTTAGTTGTCTTCCTTTCACGTCGCTATGGAGCAGTTTTACGAAATGGGGAAAGGAGAGTGATATAGGAGACCTTTCTCCTTTTACGACCTACATAGACAAAGCCGCGGATAACAGCTAGTTCTTTTTCATCATCATCATATCAGCCACAGGACGTCCACTGATGAACATAGGCCTCCCCCAATGACTTCCAGTCTGGTTGGAAGCGACCTGAATCTAGCGACTCCTTGCGACCTTAATCAGGTCGTCTAGCTAGTCTATACATATAATAAAATCGTAAAGAAGTCAAAAGTGTGCATTGAATATTTAAAAAAAAGAATACTTAGGTCGTGATCGACAATCGATACCGAAGCCAAAAATATGTTTTTTGAAATTTTTGTCTGTTTGTCTGTATGTATGTCCAGGATGATCTCAAAAAGTACTGCATGGATTTACTTCAAATTTTGTATAAATATTACTAACAGGTCGGGTCAATATATAGGCTACATATTATCAGGCTATCATCTACGGGACTGAATTAATTTTGACGACGATAAAAACGAATTCAAAAGCCTAAATTCTGCCAGAAGTCATTATTCTACGCGAATGAAGTCGCGGGCAACAGCTAGTTCTTAATATAATAAAAATATCAACTCTTTCATCTTCTCTCTACAAATACAGCAAAGGGCATTGTACTCTAGATCCCATACCACTATTGATTATCAATCAAAACAATTGCTGACAATACTCCACAATGACGTCAGATACGGATAGAATGCTTGTTGACAATACTTTTACTGCAAATGATAATATTTTTGTGTTAACCAGGAAACTATGATGAAGTAATATTTACAATGAAATGAGTGACTGAAGATTTATTGTATTATGTTAGGTATCTATGGTATGGTATGGTAAACGTCTTAGGAAAATAATGCAGACTATGGAAACCATGTAAACTATTGTCTATTATTACAATGGCTAGAATAAATATTTATCGCACTTATCACTAAAATCAATAAACTGAATAAGACACGGATATCTATATAAATAAAAATCAATTTCCGTTCGTTAGTCTCGCTATAAACCAAGAACAGCTGAACGGATTCGTATAATTTTCGCCTTAAATTGTATGTGAAGGTTCAGGGAAGGTTTAAAAGGTGACAAAAATAAATTTTAGGCGATACGAAGTTTGCCAGGTCTGCTAGTATAGAATAAAAATGTATGTTTGTAATAAGCTCAAAAACTAACTACTAGGCCGTCGTGTGTCTAAACGTGGATCGACGCGAAACACAATGTATTTTCTATTGTCTCATATCGGTGCAATCAAGCGGTTAAACCGATTTGAAAAACTTTATAAGTATTCTTACAGGATCACTCAATAATCAACTAGCTTGACTGACGGACTGACTTTGATTTCATACA